GTGAACTTCTGGCCACAGAGCCATGCATGTACCTCCAGGAACAGCTCACTGTTCCTGTCTGCTCCTTGCTTGGAATAAAGTTGGTTGGAAACCGTAAAGTGGTGGCAGTGGTTGATCCTCTTGAGTCTATTTTTGTGTTTTCTTCCTTTGGGTTTTTCTATGTGAGGATTGTATGATTCAGTCCTGACTTGGAGGTTACTGTGCTCCCCTTGGACAAGGGGAGAGGCTCCTCATCCACTGTGTGGGCCCAAGGCAGAATCCCACCCTTCTCCTTAGCCATTCTGCTCATTCAGGGTGCTCAGCCAGGCTCCAAACCCCTCTGATTTGGAACCCACAGCACTGGGAGTGGAGGCTGGTTTGTCCCACTAGGTCAACTCTGCTCCCAGTGCCGGTGAGATGCCGGCACGGTGAGATGCCGTGACGTGTCCATGAGATGCAAATTTCCCTCAGGCAGTGTCAGGCTTTGGTCTCCAGCTCTGTCTGAGCAGGGAACAAGAAAGGGGAAAGGGTTATGGAAGCACAGGCAAACATCAGCTCCTTGGGTGGGAGCTGGAATTGCCCGTATGGCAGCTCTGAATACACAAATCCATGAGTTAGCTAGGAATGAATGTATTATTACTTGAACCTCCAAATGTAAACCAGGGAGGGATTTATTTTTGGAGGGTTTTTTTTTGATTATCTGATCTGACCTACATCTCACAGCTTAATGCTGCAGTAGGTTCTGCAGCAAACACATGGGAATGCATTTATTCATATGCTTTATATTTAGTTTTAACTTACTTAATTTCATTTGTTTGTTTTCTGATTTTTCCTGCAATTGCACCAAGACAATTAACATGTAGTGGAAGGTGTCCCTGCCTGTGGCAGGGGGTGGGACTAGATGAGCTTTAAAGTCCCTTTCAGGCCAAACCATATATGATTCCTTGATCTATTTTCTTTCTAAATAGAACTTAACATTATGGCAGTAGGAACTCCATAAGGAGAAGGAATGATGGAAGTCAGTCTGCTGGCAGTGACCTCCCCACCACCCCAACATCCAGGGGGTGAAAGGGACACCCCAGCACTCCCAGCTTGGTAGCATTTAACAAAAGAAGTTCTGTGGTCTCTGTCCTGGAAATATCCCTTTTCCCACAGTTGGGCGGGTTAGTGCCAGCTCCCAGAGATGCCATCTCCTCTCCCACTATCTCCCAGTTTTGTTCCCTCTGCCCACTGCACCAGTCCAGGGCCCAAATTCCACCACCCCTTCCCTTCAGAGGGAGGGTTTGCGTTTATTCCCTCTGTCAGGGAGCTGCTGGAGCTGGCACAGCTGCTCCAGCCTACTCCTAATGCAGGGATCGGAGCCAGGAGCATCTCTGCGGCTCTCCCCGTGCCAGGAGATGCTGAGCTGAGCCCCACAGCCGCCTGCTAATGGAGCCAGAGCCTCCGGGAAACAAACCCCTCCGTGGCACCAACACGGTCTGGCCCTAATTCCTTTGGACAGCTTTCCTGCAGGCTCTGGGTCAGGGCGCTGGGGAGACGCTCCGTGCCCTTGACCGAGGGCACATCCCCAGCTCTGCAGCACCGCAGTTGCGATGGAGGAGCCCTAAATCTGTGCACTTGTGCCTGGAGTGGGGATGGACCTCTGGATTCCCTGCAGGACAGCAGTGCTCCTAAGGGACAGAATCACGTGGCAGAGGCACCAAAGTATTCCTACACTTATCCCAAATTATCCCTGCCTTTCCATGCTCACTGCAGTTTTTTTACTTATTTTTATTTTGCATGGAGTGTCAGGACAAGGGGTAATGGCTTCCAACTGACAGAGGTCAGGATTAGAGGGGATATTGAGAAGGAAATCTTCGCTGTGTGGGTGGTGAGGCCCTGGCACAGGTTGCCCAGAGAAGCTGTGGCTGCCCCTGGACCCCTGGAAGTAGCCAAGGCCAGGTTGGCCAGGGCTTGGAGCAACCCGGGATAGTGGAAGGTGTCCCTGCCCATGGCAGGGGGGTGGGACAAGATGGTCATCCCTGGCAAAACCCGGTTCCCACAGTTTAGGCAGAGCAATAATGGCACAGGGCAGGCAGACACTGAGCACTCCCGGTTGCCATGGAAGTTTGAATCCATCAGTTTTCTACCCACTGTATTTCAGGGCTGTGTGTGGGAAGCTGCCCTCACCCTGTGCCCTTTGCCTTTTCCCCCCTGTAGTGAATGGCCTGGCTTGACGAGTGTCCTTGGGGACACCCATGGATAGCTGGGAATGCCATCCCAAAGGCATCAAAGCGGAGGCGCCAGGCTCTGCAGAGAGGGACGAGCTCAGACTCAGACATCAATTCGTCTCGTTCCTTCACGGTTCCTTTTGAAGTCGGGAGGAGCTTTCATAGCTGCTGCCTGCGCTGTGATCCAGCAGCAGCACATCGCTGCTGAGCGAGAGAAGTGATTCCCGCACTGAGGAGGGATGAGAGGGAAAAAAGCGGAGATCTCCTGACACTCCTGGGGCTGCTTTTAAAGAGTTTAAGATCAAAAATCCAGGGCTGCACAAGGGGAAATACAAAATCGCTGCGAGGCACAGCTACTGTGTCTTCCCTGCCACAGCAATCCCAGGGTCCTACCACCATCCCCTCCCACCTCCAGCCGCTCCCAAACCACCCACCTGTCCCCCACCCCAACCTCTGTCCCCTGAGTACCCCCAGCCCCACCCTGCTGCTCCCAAACCACCTGCCAGCCCTGGCACTGACAGCAGCGGGGCCGGCTTGGACAGCGCTGGCTCAGGCCCATGGCCATGCCCAGCGCTCTGCTCAACCTCACTGACACCCTCCACCCACATGGACAGAGCCTTCAGCCCCACAGTGTGCACATACAGCCTCCCTAGGGAATTACAAACACCTTCTGGCTGACACTGGAAAGTGGAACACTGGAACGCCTGGATCCAGCTGTTCATCTTTCAGCCCCTGTTCTTGAGGTGTCTCATGGCCATGTTCCCGCAGCTCTCGTCCCACCTGGCTCCACACCAGCAAGGCGCCCCAACAGCCCTGGGTCTGGCTGGGCTACAGAATTCCAGCGTTCAGATGTTTCCATGGTTTCATGGATCTGCAGCTCAGCACCCTGGAAATGACACCAAATCCTTGGCAATGTTAAAAATACACATTTATTACTCCACATGTGCAATGGCTTCTGGCAGTATCTGCAAAAACACAAACTCGTCGTAACTTAAATATTCCGTGACGTGGTAAAATTGTCATGCAAGAGAATGACAGGAATTTATTAACATAAAATACAAAGATATATTTACATATATATGCACTGCAATAATTTTTAAAAAATACCCTACCAAGGCAACAGGATTTCAGCACTGTCCAGGGTCAAGTCCATATTATTGGCGTTTTTGCTATTATTTTATTACTCTTAGACTCTTTTTGGCAAACTCTGGAGTAATAAAGAATTGGCAACAGAAGAAACATCAGGACCTGACCTGATACTTGTCTTCTGTACAAATTCCCAGTGAAGGCCATGGAATTCAATGGAAACACTTAAAAATATGCAACTTTGCAAACTTCGTAACACAACAGAGATAAGAAAACAATCTCATGGCAAGTGATTAAAGGAGAATATTTATAGGTGCTGTAGACTTTTCACAGCGGATAATGGCACACGCTGTATAAATCTGTCATACAAAAAATACAGGTATTTAAATATTTATATCCAGAAAATTCCTGTGTTCTGGTTGTAGTGGAGGTGTAACCCAGAGCTGCTAGTGATGCCTTCCAGGCTGGGATTTGGGAGCAGGGCTATGTCACGACTTCACCGGGAGGTTTGCTAAACATCCGGCGTCAGCCAGGGCTCATCCAACCCCAACAGTAACACTGGCATTGGCACCAGCAATGGTGGGAAACCCCAACACATTCCCAGGAATCCACTGTGGATGGGGTGAGTTGGACATGGGACACCCTGGAAGGAGCCACAAAGACGTGGGGCCAGCAGGACCACGCTTGGCTCAATCAGCACCGGCTCATTACTGGGACACAGCGACAGGGACACGACATGACAGGGGACCAGAGTGGGGCCCAGCAGGGACGGGAGGGCCCAAGCACTGAAACCCATCACGGGAGTGCTGACAATGAAGCAAACACTCATCTGTTTTTCATCCCTTTTCCAACTGCTCTTTCCTTACCATTTCTCCTTCAGGGCCTGGGCAGAAACAGATGTCAGTGAAGCCCAGCCCCAGTGGGCTCTGGTGAGGCTGTGCCCAAGCATTACTTTGGATCAACACTGAGCACTTCAGGTGTCTCTCCCACTTGGCGCAGTGATCCCAGAGCTCTGTGCCTGGTACTGTTCTCAGGGATTTCAGGTTCAGCAATGACTGAGGCAGAAGCAGCGTGTCCCCAGCACATTCCTGGGGATGCACTGCTGGATTGCAAGGGTGTTTCCCAGGCAGCCAGGATCTGCCCAATGTTTCCCCTGGGAAGGAGCTGTTCCCTGGCTTTTCCTCAGAAGCTCTCCCAGTTTCTGCTGAGATGTTTTGCACAATCCACCCAGGAGGAGGGGTGCTGCCAAGGGAGCAGATGACTGACACAGAGAGGGTTTGGGCTGAGAAGCCTCCATTTCAGAAGTGAGCCAGCTCCTCCCCACACTCATCAATCCCACCTCAGGGGCCCTTGTCCCTTGTCCTAAGGAAAGTTGTGAAAATATCAATTAGACATGTGGTGTAACTGCCAACAGCTCTCCTGGCCTGGGAGCTTCTGATTGAATAGGATGTATCTGCACCTCTCATATACAGGATGTTTTGGTCCAAAAAAAATCAGTGACTCTTGTCATCATTCTGATAATCCGAACTTTTTCTGTTATTTACAGAAAGATGCTAAATAGCGCAATGGAATTCACTGAAACCATCCATGCCAGTGGAGTAAATCACCTGTAATTCATAACCTCTGAATAAATACATGGTTTGATCCTCATCTGCTGCACTGGGATAGAGCTGGGTGCTCAAGCTGAGGGATGTGTGATGAGCGACACGAGGTGTGTGCAGAGAGCACATGGCCTACCTGCACACACACGTGTGCTCTGATGGGCAGGAGAAGGTAATTAGACCACCCTGGTATCCAGTAAACAGACTGGAAGTCACTGGGGGTAGAAAGGGCAGGTCCCCTCTGTACAGCCCGGGATCAGAGCTGGGGTAGGGTGCCCTGCTGCAGCTGGTAAAAGGAGCAGGACAAGGCATTTATTTCAGCCCTCGCTCACTGAACAGCCCAGCGCTCCTGAGCTGTCATTAACACAGCTCCTAATGAGGCACAGGGTGTGCAGCAACCCACGGTGACACCTGGGCCTCCCAGCGTGACCCTGGTCCCTCACTTGGCACGGCGAGGGTGGGATGTTCAGCCCCACCCCCTGTCTGACAGCATCTGCCTTGCTCTGTCCTGAAAATAACTGTGCAACTGGACCCAGCACTCCAGCTCCCCTGCTCCTGCACACCTGTAAGGACTGCCGTGAAAGCGTGCTTCTGCACAATTTTAGCCACGCAGTAATTCCCACATAAAACTGTGGAAGATGCACGGGCCGTGTCACTGCTCATGTCAGATGGTTTCGTACCATTTAACGCCTTTCTGGTTTATTTGTGGAAACTGCAACAAAAAATTGTCCTGAAAGAATCTGCGTCTGTTAAAAACTTTTCCCATCCCTTTTTGCATTAGGAATATTCAGTAAGGATGCAAACACTGCAACCTACCAGTGTCTGGCAGCAAAGCACTGTTGATGGTTCGGTGGTGCCTGCGGTCCCACCACACCCCTGGGTGCCACAACAGCTGCAGGGCTCGATTTTAGCAACAGTAACCAAAAGCCACTCTATAGCAGATTAAACAACATATGAAGGCTCCCAAAACAAGAAAGGCAACATCCAGAGCTGGAGCAGGGGAAGGAGACCTCCCATCTCATTACATACGCAGTTAAGACAGGTATTGATAAATTATATACAGTACCTGTACTTTACACTGAAAATAAAGTAAATTGAAGGGTGCAATAAGATATTCCTGTCTTTCATAACCAATCAGCCTTGCAAGGCCACTCACTCTGCCTCCAGCTAAACCTGAGACCATAATAAACTGTGTTCTCCAAACCCAGGCAGACAGAACGAGACCCTCCAGACCACCCCAGGGCTCTCCAATGCCTGCAGCAGCCACGTGGAGGAAGCAAATATTTTAAATACATTCTGCATCTCAAACACACACTGAACCCATTACACTTTACCCAGCCCCTGAAGAATCCACGGAGTGCACAAAAAACATTTATTTGCCCGCAGTCAGGAAAGGAACTGACAGGTGACGCAAGGACAAAGAGGTGCCTGGGATGTCCTCATGCTCCAGGACTCCAACAGCTGGAGGCTCCCAGGAGCTGGTGCCACCTGCCACAGACTGGAGAGGCCTCAGGACTGCTACGGTGTGCACAGGGATTGCTTGTCCCCACACAGCCTTTATGAACAGAGAAAATTTCATCTCAAACCACTCATTCAGCCTTCCTCCCTGCTCCGTGTCTTCCCCTGTGGGGCTCAAGGACGCGGCTTCTTTCCTTGTCCACTCGCTGTATTAAAAAAGTGCATTCAGCAACCTGACATTAAAACAAGTAAAGAAGTTGAACTCCCCTTGGCAAGTTGCATAGGCAGTGTCTTCCCCCACGCCGTGCCGGGCTGGCGCTCCACAACCCAGGAGGGCAGTTCTGTATGAACTCTCTGTCTCCAGCTGTGCAGGGCGAGCTGTCGGGTGCTCTCGGGTGGCAGCGGGGTCAGCTCGGGTGCTCAGCGCACCCGAGGCAGGTGAGTGGCGTGGGCAGAGACCCTGGCCCGGGGCTCCAGCCTAACTGCTGCCTGAGGAGCACACGGAGCTGCACATGTGCAGGTTGGAGGGCTCGGACTCGGCCTCCGCCTCGGCTTCATCGGTGGTCTCGGAGGCAGACACGGACTCACTCGGCTGCTCTTGGCTCTTCTTTAGCCTGTGGGAGCGGAGGAACCAGGAGTTATCAGGCATCCCCAGCCCAAACACCAGAAGGAGTGGGGTGAGGGTGGTCTGCAGCCGTGAGCGCACCCCAGGCTGCCCTCGCACTGCTCGACAGGGGCCTACTGCAGAGCCATGGTGAACAAGAGGAGGCTTGCCAGGGCACACGAAAAGGTGATGTATCAGCAACTGAACTGCTCTGAAACACCCCAAAATATCCTGAGAGGCTTCAGCCCACCCACACCTTGACCATGAGCACCTGCACCGCAGCCAGGCTCCCACCCCACCTCCATGGAGTCTCCTGCTATGCTTACAGACCAAACGTTTCCCAAACTCAGGGAAGCAGCAGTTTTGATCCAGTACTTTCAGTGCCTGCTCATGCCCACCAGAGACTTCAACACTTTCACTGAATCATTCAGGTTCAAGATCATCAAGTCCAACCTTCCCCACCTTCATTTCTCAAAACATCATCTTCGAAAAAGCAGGATGGGCAAGGGGATGCCATGGGGGAACTGAAGCAGTGTCACATACATAAGTTAAGTCCCAGAAGTCTCTCTGCAGCATATTTCATTTAATGGCAGTGACTAATAATCCCTGATCTTGTCTCCCTTCGTGGGAGCTCAGAGCCATTTTTCACACACAGGCAGCACCTGAGCTCCTCAGCTGACAACAGTCACCTGGGGCTAAGCCTGCAGCAAGGTGCTACCAGCTGTCAGGCCCTGAACTTGGATTCCTAAGGGAAGTCAGGAAAAAGAGTATTTTTTCCCTAAAAAATCCCCACCCAACATACTCACTTCTCTCTGTTGAAGATGACAAAGTCCTGCTGGATAGCTTCAAGGCATTCCTGAAGATAGTCGTTTTCCTGTTGAAGAAAGACATAAGCAGCCCTATTTGCATCTTATTGCTGCCTGCAGCACCCCAGCACTCCCAGCTGTGTGCAGGAGCCTCCAGATGTGTGCAGGAGACACCCCCACCCCACCCCCCAACCTCAGCCCAACAGCTGGAGGCAGCAGGGCTGGTTGCCACGTGGCTTTCACCAGGGGCTTGTGTCATCCACAGCAGCAGTTTTCCATAAAGCACAGATCACACCGTTCACTACACAAACACATCTATCCATGTATCCTGTATTTTGGGAGTGCTGTTAGCCCAAAGGAAGGACAGACAGCATGGGGAGAGCCCAGCACACAGCCCACATGTGTGAATCCCTGCAAACACACACAGGGAGCTGCTGCCTTGTCCCCAGGCACATGTGGTCCAGGGCCGTGTGGGGACACAGGGACACTGGCTGCACACACACCTCAGTGCCCAGACCTCCTCTGCTCATTTAATTTTCCAAAGCGCAGATTACTGTGAAAGACTTTGATCAAACTTCCATAAAAAGAATGCTTGGCTGTCAGAAAGACTCCAAGGGGGAAATGTTTTTATCAAACTAAACCTGCAGCTCCTGCAGTGCAGCAGTTAAAGGCTGTGACACCCCCCAAATCCAGCCCGCTCAGCCTTCTCCCAGCTGGATGCTACCCCACAGAGCACGTACAGACTGGGAGCTGTCTTTGCTGTTATCCCTCGACTTGTTCTTTGCAAGTCTCTTCTTCTTCTTGTGCAGGGGCCTCGACTCCAGAATCATCTCCTCCAGCTCAAAGGTGGGGTCGCAGTGCAGGCGGCCCTTCTGCAACACAACATGACACACACGTCAGGCACAGCAGAGACTCAGAAACCACCTCCCCACAGGAAACCTTCTGCTGTCACAGTGGTTCCTTTAAAAGGAGAAGTGGTCCCGATGCAGATCGCTCCCACTCACGTTGGGGACGAAGCCTGGCTCCACACGCTTCTCGCAGACGTCCTTCCAGACCACACCAGACAGGTACGTGGAGGCCTGGATATCACCCAGGCAGGAGAAGCGATGCTCAGGGTTCACTGTCAGCAGCTGGGGAGGGAAAAACGTCAGAGAGATAAGCACTGGGGGGAAAAGCACTGGAGGGAAAGCACTGGAAATAAAAGCGTTGGAGGGAAGAGCACTGGAGATAAGAACATTGGAGGGAAAAGCATTCGTGCCAGAGGAAAAAGACAAAGCACCCAGCACCATCCTGCCTGGAACAACTTGGATGGTTCAGCCATGCAGGAGCGTTTCTGTTATGGGAAATACATAACTTGCTACAGGAAAAAAACGTTAGAAAACGTTCTGGAGGTTGTGAAACTGGGTACCATGAGCTCCTGGACAACGTGGATTTGCTTCCTCCCCGTGCATCCCAAGATGCACAACCCTTCCCCACAGCACCCAGCATTCTCCAGGAGCCCCGTGTCCCTCTGGGCCAGTTCTTGCCATTTTCCCAGAGCACCTAGAATTTGAGACCTGACCACTCGGCTTGGGCATCTTCAACTGAGCATGTCTGGTCTTCCAGCTGGCAGGCAGCCACAGTGGGACCTCCACAAAATGCCCATCTGGGACTGTTTTTCTTTTTTAAAAAAATGCTTTTTAAAGTGCTAGAAACGCTGATTCTAGGTGGTTACCATCTTTTTCCATAATATAAAGCCAGCACGGGGTGTTTCTCCAAACAAGCTAAAGGTGACGGTGCACGGGGCAGGCAATGGTGGCTGTACTTGCAGCCCCCCCCAAGCTCGGGGATGCTGTGAAGGCTGAGTGGGCAGGATGCAGGGCTGGGGCATCCCCAGCCCTTTGGGAGGTCAAGGGGGTCCTTCCCGGCTGAGGGGGCTGCTGGTGGTTTCCCGGTGAGAGGATTCCCTGGATGCCCAGAAGATGGCAATGCGAACCTGCCGAACGCGCCGCCGCTGCCGCCGCCACAAACTGCTGCTCCTCGTTAAACCGAATCCAATCACACAAATTGCCCGCCCAGCATTAACTCACGCCAGAGGCGCTTATTTGCTGCCAGCACCGGGTCTATCTTTCCTACAGCAAATTCACCAGCTACTTTTCTGAGTTCTCAAGCAAGCCGGAGCTAAACCAGCCTCCCCACCTCATCACCAGCTTCCTCCAGCTGCAGCACCAGGGAAGCACCAGGATGTTCCACAGGCCTGCGACCCCCCAACAGCTCTCACAACCCCACCAGACCCTTCAGCCCTGAAAAACCGGCCAGAGGGAGCAGCCAGTGCTGCAGTGCAGCACATGCTCTTTAGCTCGTATGCCACCCCAGCCATCACTGCTGCCTTTGTAGGCTACAGAGCTCATGGAGAGGATGGGATGCTGGAAAACACAGTTCTAGCCCAGCTGGAAATCCGACTGTCACAGCAAGAACAGACTTTTTCCTTCCTTTGCTATCCAACACAGTGCATATTATTAAAGGGATGATAAACACACAACACACATGATTAACTGTGGAATCCCAGGATGGTTTGGGTGGGAAGGGACCTTAAAGATCATCTTGTTCTAACCCTCTACCATGGGTAGGGACACCTTCCACTATCCCAGGTTGCTCCAAGTCCCATCCGACCCGGCCTGGAACAGCGTCCCTGGACAACCTCTGCCAGGGCCTCCCCACCCTCACAGCCAAGAATTCCTTCCCAATATCCCATATGACCCGGCCTTCTGGCAGTGGGAAGCCATTCCCCCTTGTCCTGTCCCTCCAGGCCGTTGCCCCAAGTCCCTCTCCAGCTCTCTTGGAGCCCCTTTAGGCACTGGAAGGGGCTCTAAGGTCTCCCTGAACCCTTCTCGAGGATGAACACCACCAGCTCTCCCAGCCTGTCTTTTTTGACATGACCAGTAGTAGTAGTTTGTTAATATGCTGATAACTTTCCAGCCAGTCCCACCCACACAGCAAACTAACACCCAACACACCCTCCCCCCAGCAGGAGGATGTACCTTCCGCAGCAGCGCGACCATCTCTTTGGACCAGGCTGAGGAGTACTGAACACTGACAGTGCTGAAGAGCTGCACCAGGGACTCCACGGGGTTGTTGGAGTGGATGTCATACGGCCTCTGGGGAAAGAGCAGGGAGATGAGAAGGAATCCCCTCTCCCCCCGCGTCAGTCAGACGCACGTTCCGAGGGCCTCGTGGCCAGAGCCCTACCCAGCCCCGCAGCAGCTCGAAAGCCATGACTCCAAGAGACCACCAGTCCACCTCGAAGGAATAGCCCGTCCCGCCGTTCAGGAAGGAGTGGAAAATCTCTGGGGCTGAACAGAAAGGGCAAAACGCAGCAGGTTATTCACTGTTCCTATTTCAGTGTTTCACGTAAGTCAGTGAAAAAGCTTGGGGTGACTTTTACTCACAACTGCCCGAGGGGAGGTGTGTGAGGCAGGGAGAGCAGTGGCAGCAGCGGCGTGCCTGCCCTCCACGGGAGCTGGGCTATCGGGCACACACAGGGAAAGCCCTCCCAGACCTAGGGTGGCAGAAAACTGGAGCCCACTGGGGTGCAGCAAGTCCAAGGGTGGGGCCAGCAGAAAGAGAAGGAAGGGATGGGGGTGGCAGGGGGGGATGGAGGGGGGGTATGATAGGATGGGGACAGCAGGACTGGCTGGGGAGGATAGGGCAGGGTGGGATGGGATGGGAGGTGGAGGGAGGGCACACCAACAGTGATGCCTTCACCCTGGGAATTTCACTTTTAAAACAATCAGGGTCTGCTGAATGTCTTGGGCATGTGCATTAAAGCCCTAAATTAATCCGCTGCCTCTGTCCCAGCCAGGGCCCCTTGGGCAGCGTGTGCTGAGCATTCTCAAAATGCAAAAAGACCCACTCTGAGTCAGAGCAAAGGGGTAAGAGCAGCGATTGTTTCTTACCCATGTAGGGCTTTGTCCCAGCCAACGCAGTCGCTCTTTCACCGTCCCTAATTATTGTTGCAATATTAAAATCTGTTAAATGGGCATGACCTTAAATAAAGACACATTTTAGGAAGGAATTAATGGCAGTGCAGTGACAATGCAGAGTCAGAATACATTTGTTTCATAAGCTTCAGACAGGGTGGCACAGGGAGGAGCAGGTCAGGGTCAGACCCCATGGAACAGCCATATCAGATCCCAAAGCTTTCCAAGGATCTGGGCTGGCCAGGTGATTAAAGGGTAGTGAGCTTTGGATCTTGATTTTAAAAGCTTGGAACAAGCCAGTAACCCCCAGCAGCTCCAGCATTTGGCCAAATTGCTCTGGCCAGAAGCTCTAGGAGTGAAAAGAACAACGGGGAACCACCATCATAGAACCACAGAATGGTTTGGGTTGAAAAGACATCTAGTTCCAAGCCCTTGCCACGGGCAGGGACACCGGCGAGGGAGGAGGCCAAGTGTGGGCAAAGCAAAGGGGTAACCAGGGGAGGGGCTGCCCTTGGGGGATCCTTCCTGGCATTACAATGCTCAGGGATGTTCAGTGATCAAGTAAAAGAAGGGGGTGCTTTTCCCACACTTTCCCCAGGTAAAAAGATGCCCAGCACTCAGGACTGTAAAGGATCTGTTCCTGCAATGAATAAGGGAACAAAGAGGGGCAGAGTGATCCTACCTTGCTCATCGAGGAGGATGTTGTCTGGTTTTACATCTCTGGGAAAAGAAGGAAGGTTACAGCAAATGGAATCTCAGTCAGACCAAAGATGCAACTCAACAAAAATCCTGTAACTTTTTATCTATCAAAAATTGGGAACAAATGAAGCAAAAATACCCTAACACGAGGTAAGTCCCTTTACAGTGGACTAGAAACATGCTTTTCCCGGGTAAGTGAGTGAAAAAGTGGGAGCATGGGACTGGTTCAGGCATCATTCCCAAGGAAAATTAGTAACACAATACCAGGGATATTTGTGTGAAGCCCTGGATGGCTTCGACACCCGCCCTGGAAAGTTCAGCCCCCAGTGAAGCACCAGGCTGCCTCTGAGTGATGGGGGGCAGGACCAGCAGACAGACAATGCCCAGGACCAGCAAAGACAGTGTCACCCACCCCAACCCCACCACAGGCAGGTCACACCAGCTTCCACCCACCAGCAGGGCCTGCAGGGTTACCTGTGGATGATGTGCTGGCTCCGCAGGTAGTCGAGAGCCAGCGCCATCTCACAGATGTAGAGTTTCACTGTCTCCTCAGTAAACTGAACGTTCTGCTGCAGGTGATAGCGCAGATCACCACCCAGAAGCAGGTCCACCACCATGAACATGTCCTCCTCGTCCTGGAAGGAGTACCTGTGGGACCAGCGGTGGGTGAGCAGGGCTTACAAACCACGTCAGGCTTTTCCCCTCTCCTAATTATGCAGCTCCTGTGAGAGCTGCAAACAGTCCCACCACAGGCACAGAATCAGAGAATCACAGAGTCGTTCAGGCTGGAAAAGCCTCTGAGACCATCAAGTCCAACGTTCCCCCAAGACTGCCAAAGCCACCACTAACCCACGTCCGCAAGTGCCACATCCACACACCTTTTAAATCACTCCAGGGGTGGGGACTCCACCACTGTCCTGGGCAGCCTGTGCAGGGCTGGACAAATCATTCCATGAAGAAATTTTTTCCTAATATCCAGTGTAAATGTCCACTGGTGCAACTTGTGGCCATTTCTGCCCATCCTGTCCCTTGTTTCCTGCGAGCAGAGCCCGACCTGCCCCAGTTCCCCGCTCCTGTCAGGGAGTTGCAGAGAGCAAGAAGGTGCCCCCTGAGCCTCCTTTTCTCCAGGCTGAGCCCCCCCCCAGCTGCTTCTGGTGCTCCAGACCCTTCCCCAGCTCCATTCCCTTCCCTGGACACACTCCAGCCCCTCAACGTCTCTCTTGCCATGAGGGGCCATAACTCAGTATGTTACTTCACCTTTGAATATTTGCACCCTTCCAACTAAGCAAGCCCAGCACAAGACATGGGTCTGTTTTTTAACCCATTGCTACACTTCCTAAGCAACACTTCCTAGGAATAGGGAAGTATCCCAGCTAATGTTCCCACTCTCTCTCTGTCACTGTCCTCTCCCGAGTGAGCAGTGCTGTGTCACCCCACCGGCGCAGAGCCCAGGCTTTGCCAGCCAGACACTTCAGAGAAACTTCACATTCTCAATTGCAAATAATCTCATAAACCTACTTAAAATATCTCTGCCTATCCTGAAGATGAAATGGAAAACACAACCACTAATTTAACCAGAAAAACCAGAAAGAGATTTATATTTACTGTGGAGTAAACCGCCTCTCTAAATCTGCTGTGGGTCCCGCGGGAGACTGACAGCAGGGGGATACACCAAAACAACGCTCATTGTTATATTTGGTGACTGCAGTTCCAAGGAAAGAGTATGTGGGATTGTATAATACTTATGAATCACTCACTTCTACTCCCGTCTTAAATGTAGGTTTATTCTGAAAGTATGAGCCAAAAGAGAAAGATTTGCTAAGAGAGCAAGTTCTCTCCAGAATTTTGTTGCTTGTTGGAAAAAACATTTGCAATTGCTAAAATGCTGAAAAAAATGGTATTACCTTAATTGGCTATTCTGGAGCAATGGATCAACAAAACAAATGTGGAGCATTACCCACTTCTATCACTTTGGGTACAAAACTTCCTGAATTTATGGAAGTCTCCCCTCTGACCAGCCTGCTGTGCATCCGGCACCACTGGAGCACGAGGGGATGGCAGGGGCTGCACCAGGCTAGTGGACCATGGGTGAAAAGGATGGATTTACTGATCCCTGTGTTGGGTGCTGTTTTGTCAGGCAAGAAGGCAAGAAAGGACAGATCACCCAGAGCACCCAGCAGTGGGTCCCAAGACTGACTGCCACGGGCTCATCCCAAACTGACCAACAACCCTAGGATATATCGCTCTACATTCTAAAACTTGTAAATTAATTTTTCCTGCATAATTTGATAATGACTTATCTGAACTCTAAAGGAACACATTTTTATTTGGCCAGTGAATGTGCTGCAGAGCACAGTGAGGGTGCTGGTGGGGTTGAGGGGTCAATGGGGCTGTAGGGAAGCCAAGGAGACAAACCTTGTGCACTGGAACTACCTGGACAGAACGCATTTCTCAAGTATGCCAACCAAGCTATTTGTTAGATTTCAGCCTGATTTGAAGAGGTTTTTTAAAATTAGGCCCTAAAACATTTCTCAGTAACAAGGATACTTCTGCCAGTGCACACACAGTCAAGTCATTACTGAGCGACTTGAAACGTCGCTATTTGTAGTGATGCCGAGAAAGCGTTATGAGATCCCCTCAAATTATCAGGTGTGTAGCTCTGCAAGAGCGGGCGGCCCCCGAGGCCGAGGGGAGGGAGCTGCTCACCAGAGATTCACCAGGAACACATGCTCAATCTCCTGCAGGATCTCCAGCTCTCTGAACACGTTGCGCACCTCATCCCGCTCGATGCACTGCTGCTTGTTCATGTACTTCATGGCGTACATCTTCTCCGTGTCTCTCTTCTGCACGATGCACACCTGGAAGAAGAAAGGCAGTAACATGTTCTGTACCCTCATTTGCTGCTTATTGGGCTGAGACCCACATGGTCAGCACTCACCCCTTATCAAATCTCCCTGATCCCTGGGCTGTAACCTGGGAATTATGGACACACCCAAACTGGGAGAGCACGGGCTCTGCTCCAGCCCACTGGCACTGGGTAACTACAGCTGCTCCAGAGAGCTTTCCAAAGGGAATGGTGTCTGGGAACTGTGGGAGAAAGCTTTGGCCTTGCTGCCTGTGGATGGAGACCAACTTTGGGCAACTCTCCCAGCCTCTCCTCCCCTCTGCTCTCACCTGCTGCTGCCCAACTCAGCAGGTTGGGTTTAACCTGCTGCGCACATCACTGTGCTCTGAAAGGGCAAAATAATCCTGTTGGGGTTGGCAGAAAGCGATTAAAATGCAAATTTGTTACAACAACAACAAACATCTGCCCCAGAGGAATAACCTGGCACCTGTCCCTTGAGCCCTGCTCTGCCAACAGGCACAGAGCCCCCTGGGCTGGCACAGCTTCCCACAGCATGGCCTTGGGTGCCTCCCTCGGCTCCTCTAATGACACCTTAATTACCCAGGTGCCTGTTTTTTAAAAGAGCTAATTAGCTATCAAGGTAACTGTTTTTAAATGAACTAATGGAATATCTACATTTGCTCTAATTATGTCTGCCCCTTTTAATTATCAGACACGTTCGTAATTAGGATGAGCTGGATATAATTCCTCTGGCATTTGGTCGGGAGCAGGCTGACCCGGGCTGGCTCCAGGCAGAGAGCAGGTCATGCTTACACAGTGTGGGATGCGAGTAAAGGGAATTGCTGTGGATGGCAGGAAACCGCAGACAGGTGGGAGCCACGGAACTCTCCGCACCTCTAAAACACTGACAGTAATAATCATTTGCGAGTGCTAATGGTGCTCAGTGTAATAGCATCGAGGACACGGTGCAGCGAGGAGGTGGCAGAATAATGGGTGGTTATCGTTAGCCTGAAAAACCCCCAATTAGCCACGCACAGGAATTAACGGGATTATTTTGCCATTGTCACAACAATTACAGTAAGAGCTGGAAATCAGGTGTTGCAATAACTCCCTGCACACCTCAGACCTCACATTAGGGGCACTTTTGCAGGCGGAGAGACCTGAGCTTTTCCTCTGGTGCCCGTGGGTGAGCAGCGCCCATCAGCTCCAGCTGCCAGGGACTGTTCAGGCACAAAATCGAAGGAAAAACCTCCTTCGTGCAAACTTAATGACAATAATGAACGACCTACCACAATGCACACCACCAGCAGGATCCAGCCCATGCCTACAGCAGGACGAACTGGTTGTGCATTCAATAAACCAGTGAAAAATATATTTTATATTTTATAAGTTCTTCAAGCAGCAAAGCCCAAACAATATCCCTTTAAAACCCAGTCATTGCTATGGAACTGCTCTGAAAACAAACCTCTGGATAATAGCCATCCAGGCACTGAGCAACATTCTCTCCTGAAGTCAGTTTATCCCACATTATGGCTGGAGACTCTTTAGTTTCTAGGTGCTTTGTTTTTTTAGGTTATGACTGGCTGTATCTTAACATGTATTGCACGTTATATTGCTGTCATTTGCCTCTTGTTTCTCCGCAGGGCAAATGGGAGCCCAGTATAATAAAAGAGAAAATGATGAAAACTTCTTGTACTCTGTAATCATAAACAGTATTCTGCAGTGCAACAGCACCGCTTCCACACAAAGCAACACCAGCTCCAGGCACACTGGAAATTTCTGTTCTCCAATTTATGGAAAGAAACACCGATGTGGGTGTCGATGGAGAGGTCCTTCTTGCAGCCGAGCCCCGTGGGATGAGCGGGGGGCTGGCCCGTGCCCGTGGGTGGTGTGGGGTCCCCACAGGGCAGCTCCCAGGGCAGAGGTGCTTCCACAGTGCCCCAGCTATGCTCTGCCTGTACCACAACAGCCACCACAGTCATTAACGGTTCACCATCACACACACTGCTTTTGGCAGGGATCTGACTCAAGGCAAACCAACACCAGGACTGGTGTCAGTGCTGCCCTGGCTGGACTCAGTCACTCAAGTTCCCTTTGTAAGGTGCCCTGGCTCATAGAAACGCGCCGGTGTGTTTGTGTCCCCCACGAAACATCAGTGCCACAACACCTATCTTTTCCTTTATGTGCTTCTCCATTCATGCATCTGCTCCTGGGCAAGGAATAAGCATCTACTTGGTCACAAGCCAAGAGTGTGTTTTTTTTTAATTAATCCATTTTCAGGCAGGTCTACAATGCAGAGAGTCTACAATGCAAGAAGCAGAAATTACTTTGTCCTCGTTCTGCACAATGGCCCCTTGTCACACACAGGGAATGTTCAGTGGTTAAATACAGCCATTAGGAAAATGTGCCAGCCCTTCGAGGCAGAAGGCAGGCATCAGCTGGGAGTGGATTGCTCAAGACATGGCACGTGAAAGCTTTCATAGAGTCCCAGATACCCCGAGCATTCAGCCACTGCCAAAGGGTTTGTGTGCAGCTGCCCCTAACAGCAGAGAAGAGGGCTGGAGCCCACACCCAGGATTCCAGCCAGGAGAGGGGACTGGAACACCTCCCGGATCTACCTCACTCCCCAGGGCCCCAGACAGTGACAAAGCCTGTACTGTCACCTGAGCTGGCAGCTCCCCTGAATCCAGGACATCCTTCACTCAGCAGCACCAACTGCCTCAGTAATTCACCAGTGACATCGGTGATAGCAAAAAAAAAGCCATATGGGGAAAACTGGCTCTGGGCTTTGAAACACCCTCTTTAAGGTAAGAGTTAGCATTAAGAAGCTCTGCACATGAATGCAGTGCTCAGAGCTGCCTCTGCTTCCTGCACAGAGTTTGTTTCATCACCACAAGCAGCCACAGAGTTGGAGTCAGCCTGGCTTCAATTACAGAATCATGAAATGGTTTGGGGCTGGAAGGGACCTTAAAACTCATCCAGTCCCACCGCCCATGCCATGGGCAGGGACACCTTCCACTAGCTGGGAAACCAAGAGGAACCCCCACAGCAGGAGTCAGGCATCTCATGGGCATCCTGCAGGATGTTAGGCACAGGCAGCAGGGCTGCACCCCCCCTTTGCACTGGGGGACCCCTCTGTGCTGTGTTCCAGCAATGCTGGCTGGAGCTCTGGGCACTGGAACAGGCACAGCACAGAAACCCAGCACAGCACTCAAAGCTCACCTGATTGTCCCATAGCATCCTAAAATCAGAGATGGGGACAAAGGGACCAGTTTTAGTTTGAGAAACACAAATGTGTTTTCCCTGTGGAGCGGGAACAGGCAGCACGGCTCCAAAATGCTGTCCTGGAGTCAGTCTGGTGGGGGCTCTTCAGCAGCTTCCAACTCAGCCAGGGAAAACATTAGGTATTTCAAATATCAGGCCACAGTGTAAAGTTTAAAAACCAAGACAATCAAAAAACCCCCACTGGGACTAATTAGGAACAGATCTGAGGGACTCACCCTTTTGATTGGTTCATCTTTTACGCCCACCCACACCACGAGTGTCACTCGCAGGGGTGCACCTTGCTCCTTCAGTGGGACACACACACCACTTACACAAACCTGACCTTGGGCTAAAGCCTCAGGATAAACCTCAGTTTATAGGACCAGAGCACTCATTGTCACATCACAGACTGTGCACCAAAAGCAGGAAGGGTTCGTGATCCACCAGGAATTATCTGGCTCCTCCCATCACTCCTTGGACATCGCTTACCGACCTGCTGCTTACAGGAGTTATTGCTGCTTTCCACCCAGCCATGGTGTAAGGTGCCACAGAAATAGAAAACAGGGGTTTGGGGGTTTACTGATGTTAAGAGGACTTGGGGGTTATGACCTTTTGGGAAGTTTTTTCATTCCAGTGTATTTAGGACACTTTGCCCCATCACCTCAGATTTTGCTGCTCTGTACATTTCCCTGCCCAGCTCCCTCTCCCAGTCAGGCTTTGCCTTGTCTCTTTCAGAAATCCAATAACTTTTTTCCTGCTGATTCTGAAGGAATTCACCAGGCTGAAATCTCCACTCGGATGAGAGGTCACCTAATCACTTAATAGCACGTTCTGACTTCTCTCAAACTCATTATGAAGGGGCAGCACAATTTGCCTGGGCTCGAACAAAAGCCAGCCGTTTTCGTTCTGGGCAGGGTCCACAGAGCTAATAAATACTGGGGATCGATCTCAGTCTCAAAGGCTGCACAAAGATGTTTCTCTTTCTGCATATGCAGCCCTGAAATGCCCCTGTCCTCCGAGAGACATCACCCTCACAGCCGATGCACAAACCCACAGCTGACTCGGGGACCTGCCCTCGGGGTCCAAACTTTGGGAGCAGTGGGTTTGCTTCTTGAATTTCTCCTTCTTTGGCTTCTGTCTTTGGAAGACAATGCCCTGTAATCCTTCCACACACAGACACTCTATTGACTTTGGCTCAGAGCCGCCGGGACGCTTCAGTGTACAAAGCTGGATTGCACTTATTTTGTTTTTAGAGCAGAGTCAAGGCTTAGCATCAGCCAGCACTACACACCCACACCAAACACCTTAATCCTGCCCGCTTCTGAACCGAAACTGAACACCACCCCACACTATAAAAATGCTTACTTGCAATGCTTGCACCTTGCCCACATATATTGATTTCTCCTCCACTTCTGCTGGCTTCTCTGGGGTATTTATCTTTCCCCCTTTTCCCCAGCACCTATAGAGCCACCATTTTACCAGAAAGGTTGAAACTTGAAATGTGAAGCGTAAACATACAATTGCCTGTGGCAACCAAAAGCATCTGTAGGCTTCGGGGCTGCCTGGGGAAAACCTCTGCCACGGGAGAAGCACGGCAGCAGCCTCAAGAGGGATGCTGAAATGGGAGATCTGCAGCCTCTGGAGCAGGAACTAAGCCCTTCATTCTGAAGGACCACAAGCAGCGAGGAGGCATTTGCCATGACGTATAAAGAGCTCAAGGTTTTTTGAGAACTGAGTTCAGCTTTGAGC